CCCCATCCACCAACACCCCCGGCAGACCCCCAGAACTCCCACGCCTACCCAACCCCCCTGTTCCCCATTCCCTGACCACCACCCCCAGAACCTCCGCCCTCTCCAACCGCCCCTCCTCCTGGCCCCGGCCCAGCCCCCTTACCATGCTGCTCAGGGCAGTGTGTATGGATGCTGCGCGGCTCGCTGGAGCTCACAGCCCTACCCCCTTACCATGCAGCAGGAGCTGCCCAGGAGCAGTCCAGAGTGCTGACGCCGGGCTCTGTGAGGGGGGGGGGGGGGGGAGGAGCCTCCCCAGCTGGGAGCTCAGGCGGGCTGGACAGGATGGTCCCGCGGGCCCGAGTTTGTCCACCCTTTTACCAACCGGTTCTAAACCAGCTTCTAAATTTAACAACCGGTTCGCGCAAACCGGCTCCAGCTCACTACTGGCCACGACCCACCTCCAAGTCCGGCCTGCGAGGCTTCGCGCCTGGGGGGGTGTTTCCCTGCGCTGGGCCTGCTGCCCCCTCGCTTTCCCCAGCCGCTTTGGTGTTACTGGTTGTGACGAACTGGGCCTGTTCTTACTGTGGTGTGTGAATACTGACAGGGGAGTGTGGCTGAATAGTCTGCATTGGGGGATGGGAGTCTGAGTCTGCCCGAGGGCGAATACCTGGGCGTGTAGCATGGGAGCCCAGGAAGGGGTTGGAGGCCAGGTGACTCCTTGGCCTGGGAAACGGAACAAAGGCTGTGGGAGGGGTCGCTGAAGGCAGAGTGCTGGAAGCGAGCTGGAGAGATGGCTGGGAGGCAGAGATGGCCTACCCGTGGTCACCATGGTAGGCACAGGAAGTACCATCGAAAGTTGATAGGGCAGACATTCGAATGCATCGTCGCCGCCACGGGGGTGTGAATACTGACAGGGGAGTGTGGCTGAATAGTCTGCATTGGGGGATGGGAGTCTGAGTCTGCCCGAGGGCGAATACCTGGGCGTGTAGCATGGGAGCCCAGGAAGGGGTTGGAGGCCAGGTGACTCCTTGGCCTGGGAAACGG